TGATGATACCAGCCCAAACCAGTACTCCACCTCCACCTTGCTGGCGTCTGAGTCGGACTGGAGCTCTCTGCCCTTTACCAATCCAGCCACGGGCCCATCCATCTGGCCCATCAAGACTCACTCTCATTTCATCAGTCCATAAAACCTTAGAAAAATCAGTCTTGAGATATTTCTTGGCCCAGTCTTGACGTTTCAGCTTGTGTGTCTTGTTCAGTGGTGGTCGTCTTTCAGCCTTTCTTACCTTGGCCATGTCTCTGAGTATTGCACACCTTGTGCTTTTGGGCACTCCAGTGATGTTGCAGCTCTGAAATATGGCCAAACTGGTGGCAAGTGGCATCGTGGCAGCTGCACGCTTGACTTTTCTCAGTTCATGGGCAGTTATTTTGCGCCTTGGTTTTTCCACACGCTTCTTGCGACCCTGTTGACTATTTTGAATGAAACGCTTGATTGTTTGATGATCACGCTTCAGAAGCTTTGCAATTTTAAGAGTGCTGCATCCCTCTGCAAGATATCTCACTATTTTTGACTTTTCTGAACCTGTCAAGTCCTTCTTTTGACCCATTTTGCCAAAGGAAAGGAAGTTGCCTAATAATTATGCACACCTGATATAGGGTGTTGATGTCATTAGACCACACCCCTTCTCATTACAGAGATGCACATCACCTAATATGCTTAATTGGTAGTAGGCTTTCGAGCCTATACAGCTTGGAGTAAGACAACATGCATAAAGAGGATGATGTGGTCAAAATACTCATTTGCCTAATAATTCTGCACTCCCTGTACTTGTGTATTAGGGAGGATAGATAGGTGGGAGTAGCATTATGTGAAAGCAAGAACCATAATTTTATATTGAGCCCTATTTCTTACGGGAAGCCAATGCAGGGACTGACAGAGGGGTGAGGCATGGGAGGTACGTGCGGACAGGAAGATGAGTCTCACCGCCGCATTCATTATAAACTGCAATGGGGCAAGTTGGAACATGTAAGACTTTTTATTCCTCTTGTAGGCTAAATGGAGGTATCTACATACAGACATTATTATACTGCTGCAAGAAAGGCTGTGCTCCATCAGCTGATCATCTGCAATAAGCAAAGGTAACCTTCTGGTAGATCACACTAAGACTCTATCCTGCACACTATCATTTAATTATAACTTTATTGCCCTGTAAATGTACTTTTATTTAATACATTCTTTGTGCAATGCATATATTTTTTTTTACATTTATGCCTTGTATATATTTCTAAAGTGTAGTTTTATTAGTCCTGTATGTAATTGTTTTATTCACATATATACATATCTCCATTTCCTCTCTGATTGCTGCACTCTGACCCCTCCCTTCTCTTATTGATATCAAACCAAATGTTTTGTTTGAATAACCATCCCTTCATCTCTGTGCCTAGATACATAACCCCCTCCCTCAGCTTTATTGCAGGCCTATCTGACCCTCACATATCTTTCTTCCACAGCCTGTTTTACAAACTTTCCAGCCCCATTACTGCTGCAAGAAAGTCTGATACCCACATTTTAGATAAGCAGAAACAGCAGGTGTACACACAGCCTCTTATCAGTACACCCCTGCACTTTCTTAACCCCTAAATCTTAATACCCTTCCTACTCCTGGTTTTGATACTCCAATTTATTTATTTCCGTTTCTCCAAATTGACTTTTTCCCAGTTTAGCAATGCTCTTTCTTCTCCTCCTCTTCATTTCCTTCTTCTCGCTCAGTATCAAAATCTCTGCTTACAACCACTTTCCTCATCCCCCCAACAACCTTTAAATTTTCCCCTCTCTGCTACACTCCCCCCTTCTCTCAACTCATGCCCTGCACTTATTTTTCTGCTCCCTCTCTCCTACCCACAATCAATCTCATGCTAGACCCCATGTGCATAAAACACACTCACACCTCCTGTCACTATCTCATGCCCTTCTTCTAGCAGCTGGTGACGTCTCTCCCAACCCAGGGCCCTTCACCTTCTCTGCACACACTAAGACAACCAGAAACCACACAAACCTAATGAACCTAATACCCTGCCCTTTACTCTCATTTGTCAGCATTCAGTGTGCACTCTGGAATGCCCACTCTGTCTGCAGCAATCTGAAATCAACAGCCATACATGACCTTTTTATCTCAAACTCTATTCTGGAACGGCTGCAAAGGCTATGAATGTGTTTTTCAGGAGCACATGGCGCTCATTGCCCTGATGAGATTATCCATACCAAATCACCTTCCCAGATAGCTTACTCAGTCACAACTCACATGAAAGAAGATCTGGCGATGTTTATTCGTCGTATGATCTGTATGCAGTTACAACAGGTAAAATAACAATTCTTCCATACAGGTTAGGAGTCAAGTTACATAGTTACATAGTTACATAGTTACATAGCTGAAAAGAGACTTGCGTCCATCAAGTTCAGCCTTCCTCAGAAATGTTGTTGCTGTTGATCCAAAAGAAGGCAAAAAACCTGGTCTGAAGCACTTCCAATTTTGCCACAAACTAGGAAAAAATTCCTTCTTGACCCCAAAATAGCAGTCAGATGTCTCCTTGGATCAATCATGCTATTACCCCACTAATTAGAAATTATATCCCTGTATGTTATGTTTTTGTAAGTATTTATCCAATTTCAGTTTAAACATCTGTATGGACTCTGACAAAACCACCTCTTCAGGCAGAGAATTCCATATCCTTATTGTTCTTACTGTAAAAAAACCTTTTCTTTGCCTTAGATGAAATCTCCTTTCTTCCAGCCTAAATGTGTGACCTCGTGTCCTATGTATAACCCTGTTTATGAATAGATTTCCAGATAAAGGTTTGTACTGGCCCCGAATATATTTGTATAAAGTTATCATATCCCCTCTCAGGCGCCGTTTTTCCAAACGAAACAGATTTAATTTTTGTAACCTTTCTTCATAACTAAAATGCTCCATTCCTTTTATCAATTTTGTAGCTCGTCTCTGGACCCTCTCCAGTGCCATGATATCCTTCTTTAGAACAGGCGCCCAAAATTGCACAGCATATTCAAGGTGTGGTCTTACCAGCGATTTATAAAGAGGCAAAATTATATTTTCATCCCGAGAATTTATGCCCCTATTTATACATGACAAAATCTTACTGGCCTTAGCAACTGCAGATTGACATTGCATATTGCTGCCTAATTTGTTGTCTATAACAATGCCCAAATCCTTCTCGTGTGTGGTTATCCCTAATTCACTACCATTTAGTGTGTAAGTCACATATGAAAGTACAGCATTGAAAACAGTAGAACAGGAAAGGGGGAGGGGAGTACCTGAAGCAGCATGCAAACTATGGAGTGGCCCAAGAGACAAACTTAAGATGAACATTAAAGAAACAGTACATTATAATAAAACAATATCATGTAACATGACACTACCCGCCTGAAATCTTTAGATTTCAAAGCCTATATATATATATATATATATATATAAAGATAAGTCCAAATGTCTAAAAGTCCAACTTGAACCTGCAAGTGAAGAAAACATTGGAAAATAATACTGGTGAGTAAACCATAAATACGAGATACCTGCAAACAAAGAAGGTATGCAGTAAATGAACAGCCAAACGTGAAGTCCAATAACGGATGGCTAAAGTCCTGTAGTCTACAGCTTATAGCCGTGGAGCTTCAACAGTGGCAAGTTAACAGTTATAATGGCGTTCTCCCCGCCATAGCATCGTATAGTCTGGTACTCTTGCATAAGTCACTCACTTGGGAGAAGAAGTACCAATTCTGTGGTTGGTTGTGAGAAAGTCCAAGCTGAACCTCCTTTGGTATTCTTAATCTCAACCTTGCAAACCTTTCCATCATCGCTGGGCATTACGCTTGTTACAAGACCCATAGGCCACTCGTTGCGACAGACTTCTCTATCTTTCACTGCTAGCACGGCTGCACAAAGTTCAAGTCTGGGTATGGTATGCACAGGTTTAGGTGTAAGCTTTGCCTTGCCTAGAACAAAATTGCAGTGTCGCATTCTATGTTGTCAGTAGTAAGCTGTCTTAAAAGCATTTTACCTTGGGTGGTGACTGGGGCTATAAATCCCAGTGGGTCGTAGATGCTATTCACTATGGACAAGACTCCTCTCTTGGTAAAAGGTTTGTCACAGGTTGACACTTGAAAAGTGATGTTCCACAGCAGACCTAGACTTCTCTGCAAAGGAGGCGTGTCTGACCCAAGGTCAAGGTCTTTCATGCTGGCAGCATAGTCCTCAGAATGAAATGCATTCATTAGCTCTTGGCTGTTGGATATAATCTTCTGGAGTCTCAAGTTTGCTACGGATAGCATCTCCTTTGTTCTGGTGAGAAGATCAATTGCTTCTTTAGCAGTAGGAAAGGATTTGAGCCCGTCGATTACGTAAAAGTTTCTTTTGACAAATTGACAAGCGTCGGATTCATACTCAGCTTCTCCAAGCTGGGCTGTCTTTTTTAGTCCATAGATTGCTACAGCTGGGGAAGGACTGTTCCCAAAGACATGCACCCTCATTCGGTAATCAATTACCTCTTTGTTGATGTCATTGTCCTTGTGCCATAGGAACCTGAGGTAGTTTCTGTTGTCTTCCTTGACGATGAAGCAGTGGACTATAGAGCCAAACCTGTCATCGTATGTGCGGGAAAGGTTTGTTTTGCCATGTTGCAACTTGCAGCTAGTTATTTTCTCCTTTACCCAGTAGTGATGTGGGCATGGCTCAAAGTGAGTATTATGACCATTCGGCAATACATTTGTCTTGAATGAAGAAATGTTAGAAGGCGTTTTCATTTTGCCTATACAGACATTACCTATGATAACCCAGCCTAAGTCCAGGTACTGGGCAAATGGAGCATCTGGGGGTCCGCTGACCTGCCTGTGCACCTTGTGGACCATTAGAATATTTCTTCCTAGCAGAAGAAGGATTTTAGCATCTTTGTCAAGTGGTGGGATTTCACTTGCTATTGACTTTAGGTGAGGGTGGTAGAAGGCAACTTCTGGTGTAGGTATTTCTTCTTTGTTGGCTGGTATCTGGTTGCACTCTACAAGTGTAGGTAAGGGTAATTGTAAGATCTCTCCTAGAGAGGACACAATAAATCCATGGGCCCTTCTTCCAAAGACCTCCGTAGTGCCGCTACAAGTGCCTAAAATGTAAGGGTGAACCTCTCCTCTTATGTAAAATAGATCAAACAGTTCGGATTGGGCAAGTGATCGATTGCTTTGATCATCTAAGATAGCATACACCTTTAAAGTCTTTTCTGGTTGATCCTTGTGGTGGACATTCACTAGGCATATTTTAGCGCCAGACTTATCACAGTGGTCTTCCCCACAGACTTCAGTGCATAAGGAAAATATCACGGTGGAATTAGGCACCTGATCTGTACTGTTCCCGTCGTGATTTGGCCTGGGAGAAAGGTTTGCAGATTGTGAAGGGTTGGTTTTGAGTGGATGGAGAGCTTGTACATGGTCCTCAGAACCGCACTCTATGCACTTGATAGGGGTTTTACATTCCTTGTCAAAGTGATCATTTTAAGCACAGCACCTATAACATACCCCAAAGGTCTTTAGGAGTTCCTTTCGTTCTTGTAGGGGCTTCTTCCTAAAGCCGATAAATTTTTTGAGGGGATGTGGATTCTTGTGGATAGGACATGATTGGTTTGGGTTTTCGATCTTGCCGCTCTTGTTTGAGGTGGGAGCTGAGGCGGGAGCAGGAATAATGTCTGTCTTCTTAACAGACACGGGTACTCTACAGTTCCTGTAGCTGATATGTAGGTTGTCACCTTTCAGTGAGGAAGTACTGAACTCGCCAAATGCAAAACTAGGATCATTCTTGGTGTCAGCAATGTTCCTGACAAATTCGCAAAAGTAGGAGAAAGGGGGAAATGAAACCTTGTTTTCCCGTTTGTATTTTGACCCAATTTGGATCCACTTTTCTCATAGGCCATATGGAAGCTTGTAAATGATAGGGTTAACTCCTCGAGCAGTGTCCAGGTAACTGAGGCCAGGTAGTTTAGGGTCGGTTTTGGCAAGCTGGACTTCGAGAAGAAGGTCACTGAGTCTCTGGAACTCTTTATTGTCCTTACCGGATAGCGTCAGGACTACCATAACTCTGTTCTAGACGTTCCCATGCAGCATTGACCTGCAGTTGGATTGTCGATGTAGACTGACCTGAGGCTCTTGACACGTTCTGTAGATTGTGGGCCAAGCCACCTGATCAGCACATCCAGCTCCTCAGCAGCAGTAATACCAAGATCACCTATAGTAGTTTTGAATGCAGCTTTTCAGCTTCTGTAATTTTCAGGATGGTCATCGAAGCTTACTAGGCCTGACTTGGTGAGCTCTCGTCGAAGTATATATTTTACGAACTCTGCTCTATCAGTTGCCTCTGACTTTACGTAGGAGGCCGCTGGTTGAATGTTGTGGGTTGCGTTGTTTATGGTATTGTTGTAAAAAGGCGTGGGAAGATATGGTGCAGCAAGGGCGTTCAGCTGAGTTGTTGGGTTAAAGTCTGGAACGGTACTATTAGCAGTAGGTTGGTGACTTGCTTGCAGATTGGTGTGCCATTCTGTGACATGTGCAGAATCAGCCTGACAGTCGGGCGATGCACTAGGGTGGTTTTGCATGTAGGAAGTTGCTGGAAGTTGCCTGGTGGTGTGGTGAAGTCCTTCCGTTGTCGTGAAGAATGGAGGCAATTGAGTGTTCACTGCTGTGGTTTAGTTCGTTATCTGCCTTGATGCTGACCCTTTCACTAGCATTTTCATCTGCACCGAGAGCTTGTTCCAAAAGCTTTAGTTTCACTGCAGCTGCCTCGTACTTGCTCTGTTCCTTTAAAGCTTCAATTGCTGCCCTTTGTCGTGCTGCCTCAGCTTCCATTTCTGCTCTCTTTTTAGCATATGCAGCCTGTACTTTGCTAGCCTCTGCTTCGGCACGGGCATTTATAATCTGTTCACTAAGCGTTGAGTGCCTTGAACTTCGGGATCTAGAGGAACTTTTAGACTGTCTGGTGGATACGGATCTGTGAGATACAGTGTCCTGTTGCTGCGTTACTTTTGCTTCTGCCTTTGCTTTAGCTAGAAGGATAAAGCTTTCTCTTTCCACGTTAAGAAGCTGGGCATTGTTAAGTTGCTCTAATGATTCCTCAGTGTTAATGTTTTGCAGAATAGTTTTATATTTATTGCTTGTAGTCTGGTACAGTTCATATGAAGCAGAGAGATGCTTTATGGCGCCCTCTAGTTGCAGTACCTTGTGGTTGGGACATGAAATCACATCAACGTGGGTGAGGATTTTATCCCAAATCTGCTTCAAACTGGTTGATAGTTCAGTTCTCGTGGATTCATAGTTCTCTTTAACCTTCCAAGTGGGTTTCACAGAGCATTTAGCCAATGCACTGTGCTCTGGGTCCTCACCCTGGCTTTCTCCATGTGGTGCATGCTGTGGTGTTTCATCAGATACTGAGCCTTTTCCACTCATGATGGCCTGAGGTACACAGGCTTGGCTGTAGCAGTGAAGAGTGTCTGTATACTGTGTGGGACTGTAACAAGCTGTGCTGGGGTTGTATGCAGAATTCTCATAGAATACACACAGTTACACTTCACTATGATCTGTCCTGTGACACAGCAATCTCGTTCTTTTACTATTCTTGAATGGCTGCAAAGGCTATGAATGTGTTTTTCAGGAGCACATGGCGCTCATTGCCCTGATGATATTATCCATACCAAATCACCTTCCCAGATAGCTTACTCAGTCACAACTCACATGAAAGAAGATCTGGCGATGTTTATTCGTCATATGATCTGTAGAAAGTGCAGTTACAACAGGTAAAATAACGATTCTTCCATACAGGTTAGGAGAGATACAAGTCACATTTGAAAGTACAGCATAGAAAACAGTAGAACAGGAAAGGGGGAGGGGAGTACCTGGAGCAGCATGCAAACTATGGAGTGGCACAAGAGATAAACTCAAGATGAACATTAAAGAAACAGTACATTATAATAAAACAATATCATGTAACATGACAAACTCACTCACACTACTAGCACTCACAGAGACCTGGCTTTACCACTCTGATAGCGCTACTCCTGCCTCTTTATAATTTGGTGGGCTACAATTCTCCCACTGTCAGGATTACTGTTTGATCCAGCACGTAGAACTGTACAGCACGGATGACAAATAAGTAACGTATTACCGGTCCTTAGAATGGTCGGATTTAACGTACAAAGAATAGTCAAAAATACTAGCCGAGGTCAGGGAACACAGAAAGGGACACAGCGATGAGGAAAGCCAGGAGTCAGGATACCAGAATATAGAGAAGTCAATAAACAAAGCCAAAGTCAAAAACCAGGTAGAAAACTATAAACAGGAACGCGCTCTCAGACAACCACAAGGGAAACCACGACAGGGCACTGAGCAGGCAGAGAACTGGGCCTAAATACCCCTCCTTTAGTTCTGATAGGCTGTAACCGGCCTTTGACCCCAAAGTCAGTTACCAGGTTTCATTTGCATAATTGCTGCTCAGCATTAACCCTTCTGTGGATTAGGTTGCTGCTCGGCACAACTTTTCCTGTGTGGACAGTAAATGTCATTAATCACTTTTCTCTAAGCAGATGAATACATGACACCAGGTTTCATTTGCACAATTACCGCTCAGCATTAACCCTTCTGTGGATTAGGTTGCTGCTCGGCACAACTTTTCCTGTGTGGACAGTAAATGTCATTAACCACATTTCTATAAGCGGATGAATATGTGACATTACCCCACACCTGAAGAACGCCCACCGGGCGGACAGGACCAGGCTTGAGAGGAAATTTAGCGTGAAAAGCGCGGATCTTACGGCCCGCATGCAGGTCAGGAGCCGAAACCCAAGAACGATCAGCAGGACCGTAACCTTTCCAAACAACCAAGTATTGTAAAGTGCCCCGAGAAAACCTAGAATCCACGATAGAAGATACCTCATACTCTTCCTGACCACCCACCACCACCAGAGGGGGAGGAACACAAGGAACAGTATATCTATTGCAGACAAGAGGTTTGAGTAAGGACACATGAAAAGTGTTGGGAATCCCTAAAGATGCAGGAAGAGCCAGAGAGTAAGACACTGGATTGATCCTACGAAGCACTCTATAGGGACCAAGGAATCTGGGGGTAAACTTCATGCTAGGGACCTTAAGCTTGATGTTGCGAGATGACAACCAAACCCGGTCCCCCACTTGGTACACCGGGTTGGCACTCCTACGCTTATCAGCAAAATGTTTGAAGTGTTCAGCAGCAGCCCCTAGAGCAGTTTGAACCTTAACCCAGGTATCCCAAATGGAGGCCAGACGCTCATCCAGAGCAGGAATGGCAGTATCAGAAAATACCGCAGGGAGAACCGTAGGATGCCTACCATTATTGACAAAAAATGGACTGTGCCCAGAGGAGTCATGAACAGCATTGTTTCTAGCAAACTCGGCCCACGGGAGTAGTTCGGACCAATTGTCTTGTGTGCTATTAATAAAACAACGCAAATAAACTTCTAATGACTGGTTAGCCCTCTCAGCTGTACCATTGGTCTGTGGATGGTAGGAGGAGGAGAAGGAGAGATCAATGCCCAATTGTTTACTGAACGCCCTCCAGAACCTGGACACAAACTGAGAGCCCCTATCAGACACAATATTGTGGGGGATGCCATGCAAACGGACAATTTCACGTATGAAAATTAGGACCAAATCTTGCGAAGATGGCAACTTCTTGAGAGAAATGAAGTGAGCCATCTTAGAAAATCGGTCTACAACCATGAGAATAGTAGTGAACCCAGCAGAGCTAGGAAGCTCAACAATAAAGTCCATGGATAGGTGGACCATGGAATCTCAGGAACAGGAAGAGGCTGCAACAGGCCACAAGGAAGTGCATGAGTCACCTTAGAAACTGCACACACAGAACATGCCTGCACATACTCCTTTACATCTTTCCTGAGTGAATCCCACCAAAATGATCTAGTGATCGCTGCAGTGGACTTATTGATGCCCGGGTGTCCAGCAGTTATATTGTCATGGAACACTTTCATGATATTAACCCTTTCACATAGGGGAACGAACAGTTTATCACACGGTTTACCACTGGGCGCCTGAGGCTGGGCCTCCAGCAGGGCCGGACTGGGGAAAAAATTCGGCCCGGGCATTTTTAATTACAGCAGCCCACTGAAAAGGGGGCAGGGCCAGATAGGGTGTGTTTTGTCATCCCCAATGACAAGCACGCCTCATC